ATATATATATATATATATATATATATATATATATATATATATATATATATATATATATATATATATATGTATTTTTTTTTTATTTTTTATTTTTTAAACTCAAAAGTGCAGTTTTTAAACTTAATGTCGCTGAAACAACAAAATAATGATAAAAAAAAAATCTATCTGATAGAGAAATCACTCATCTTTGGAAAAGAGACTTTATTACAGAGAAATGGCTCTTTCCAAAATAAAAGCTATACTATACGCTTCTTCTGGGGTATTTTCTCAGCAGCATATTAAACATATCAGGTCCCATAAGGAGAATCATGTGCTAACGGCTGTCTAAATGACTCGGGTAAAGTTTGTAGCATGCGTGCTTGTTGTTTTTGCCTGCTTCCACTTGTCTTTGCACCAGGATGATGTCCGCGTAAATGTGCAGTCATATTTGTTGTGTTCCCACTAGTGCTGTCAGCGTTAATCTTGTTAAAATGACATTAACGCCATAACGGGGCAAATCTCCGTTAACGAGTTACCACGGATTGCCCCGTGCATGGGGCTTGACAGCGTCAACACCTTAACAAGCTAACTGTGCTAACGCACTAGTTCCCACAAATTGAGCATTGCGTGGCACATCCGACATACTGTTTTACTTTTGTCCATGACGCGCTTACCTTCAGGGTCATACTTCACATAAAAACCAAAATAGTTCCAAACGCCAGATCTCAATGAGGGTGGGGGAGGTTCAATTTGCCATGTTGCAAGGAGAGCTTAACTTCTGTCTCGCTAGCTTGCCCTGCGCTCAGTGAATCTGCGTTCGACTACTCCGCCTAGGCTGCACTGTCGAGCACAGATTCATTGAGCGCTCAACACAGACAGCATCGTCAGAAGGAAAGTTGATAAAATAAATTAAAAATTTTGTATTGTTCATACATATGCGTACCGAACCGAAAGCACTGTATCGAACGGTTCAATATCGATACGAGTATCGTTGCACCCCTAATATATATAGATAGATAGATAGATAGATAGATATATATATAGATAGATAGATAGATAGATAGATAGATAGATAGATAGATAAAGACATATATGTACTACATTAAATACCATGCTCCAGCTGTAGCCTCCCACAAGATAAATGCTGTCATCCAAAACGGCACAGCCTGGACCGCTGCGACCCTCCAGGATGGGTGTCTGGAGGATATTCCACTGGTCAGCTTTTGGGTCGTAACACTCAACCAACATTACATCTAGATGGGAGAAACCTACATGACAGAGATAAGATAAGATAAGATACCCTGTCATCGTAGGTTTAGGTTACAGTAGAGGTAGGGTGAAAAAGGTGTGCAGATGTTAGAAATAAAAGGCAAGTGTTTATTTTTCCCAAAAGTTAAACAAAATCTAAAAGGAACAGAAACCCAAAGAAAAGCACAAATCCACAGTGACACAGAGGGCAGGACACGTGGTGAACATGGGAGCATAACTTATTCCACGCCCTTAAGGACTTTCTATCTATCACACAGAATCACAATCCAATGGATTCATCAGGTGCAAGTGTCTTGCCCAAAGACACTCTGGCACGCAGACTGCAGGAGCCGGAGATTAAACAACCAACCATTTGATTAAAAGACAACCCACTCCACCTCCTGAGCCACAATCACCCCGATCCAACTAGCAATCCAACAAAGAAAGAAAACAATATATCAAAGAAATACAGGAAATAACCCAAAAGACAAATAACTAACGCCAACACAAGAAGACTCACACTGAATGTGATAACAGAGGCAGAGGAACACAGAAGGCACTCAACACAAGACAGCAGGAAGCAAAGACAGGCAGCTACGGTGGCCGCTTTAGGACAAACATGTTTTAGACAGGAGAGATCAAAAACATTAAATTTGGACTATACCCCATAACAGCTGTGTCTGGCCACCATGTTTGTATTACCAGTTTTGCACACACTATATTTTAATATATTTTAATAATATCAATACTTACATTAAATGTTTTGGGATATTTTAGTTACCATTCACCCAGCTAGCAAAGTAATTCTTTTAGCTATCTGGGTAGGCTATCAGTCTGATATTAACCTTGACTGTAAAGCTTTGTGAAAGGAGTCCGATACAAGCCGATGAGTCAGTGAAGCTCACTTTTGACCGAAGACAGTGATTGTGAGGTGAGCTGCTGAGGATATCCTGGACTGCTCTTGTCAGTAAGTTCTGTTTTTTGCCGCTATTAGTTGCCATTAGCCTCTGTTACCCACTGTTAGCAGCTGTCAAGTGAAATTGTCTTTGAAATTTGTGTAACATTGCTCTACACTTAGCGGATTCAGTTGAATTAAACTGAATTTTAAGTTTTAGAATCGCATGTCTAATCTGTAGGCAGTAAATAATTGCGACAATATCAGGAATAAATGCATTCAAGATGGCGAAGCAACATGGCGGATTCCACAAACTGGTGCTGGCTCCTGTGTACTTCTAAGAGATTATTTTCTAAGTTTCTTAAAATGCATGAGTTTGTTGTATTAATTAATTACTAATCTATCTAATTGGTGTGTAATAATAATGTTGTACTCATAATCTAATTTATGAGTATACCATTATTTTTTTATTAAATGAACTAAAAAAACTCAGTACCCTTAACAATAGCATAAAACCTGAACTCACCATCACATCACAAAAAGAAAACTAGACCGAAAACACTAAAGTCAAACATTCCTGTGGACCAATCAGGTTTCAGACAGTTTTGGTTTCATGTGCTTGCGCTACAGTACCACTGTAAATGAAATCCACACAAACCACCACGTGAATGCACTGACACAAGGCTGGTTAACAACATGACGGCAGATGTGTGCCATATTGAAACGACCCCATTGTGCTCTTACAGGAATCACCGCTGAAAAAATATTATTTCACTAAAAAGATATGAATTTTAAAGAAAAAAAGAGCACGCTCTATATCCTACGAAATGAGAGAAATCTTTTCTTATTTTTTCCTGCTGGGGAGATGGTCCAGTGTAACTCCTTTCCTCCTCTTTCTTGAAACTATTCATTCAGTCAATTCATTCTATCCTTCACTTAGCCTATCCCAGCTGACCCCAAAAAAAAAAGATTGACTGCTAAAGCCTGTCAATACAACAGTGAGCATAACTAAGGCAAACAGAACTATAATAATCTTTAAAAAAAAAACGTTAATATAGTTAAAGTTTTGATTTAAAGCGACGCCTTGACAAAAAGCAAATTTTATTACAGTCCTTCACTATGTGGCACTATATGGCATTACGTTCTTTCCTTTACTAAAGGATGGTTCAGTTTATCCTGTGCTAAAGGAGGTAATAAAGGAAGCTTTGAAGCATTTATATTTAGTATTTAAAGAATTTGCGCAATTTGATATTTGACCACAGCCGTTCTCTTTCTCAACATAATGCTTTAGGCGTTAGGCTTTATTTTGCTTCTCATGGTTTGACTCTTTATTCTGTTCTCGCCAGTGTGTCCAGTATGTTCCTTGTGTCCAGTTGATGGGTTTCCCCTTTAGTTAAACTTTTGCAGACATGTTACTTTTTTTTTTGTCTATTTGCTGATAGAGACAAATTTTTGTTGTTCCTCCATCTGCCGCATTCGGTTCCACCTCCCTCACAGTTTCACTACATCTCAAGGTTTCTTCCTTCACCACCAACTCACAGACACAAACCAGCAAGACAGCCATCGATGTGCACAGATTCGCTCCTACGGTGAGCGTGAGGAAACACGAGTTTGGATATGGACACAGTCATACTCAGAGGCACGTGCAGGTTTTTTATGAGCTGAATTTGCAGCAATGAAGAGCCAACTGAACACATCTGTTTAACAGTGTTTTAACGAAAGAGCGTAGCTAAAGAGAGGATTCAAAGAGACACAAGCTGAGCTTGTCATAATTCCCATGACCACATTCAGTTTTCCTGAAAAAATGCAAATGAACAGCACACGTTTTTGTTCTTTTTCACATTTTGTACTATGAATACTAAAGAGAGCGAGAAATGGAGGCTACAGTGTTGCACAGGGTAATTAAGGTCACTGCCTGCTCACAATGGCAACATGATTTTCACACGTACTTTTCAAAAAAGTATCAATCTTGACCTGCTTTCTGTTCGTTGTCTGAAAAGCTCGAGTGCTTACCTTTCAAATGGTTTCCACCAATAGCATACAGGCGGTCATTCATCCCAGCCAGAGCATGAATGGCACGCTTTGTGTTCATATCTTGTTTCCTCGCCCACACATCCATTATAGGGTCGTAGCAGTAAAGCCAGGAGACATACTCGCCATTGTGCACGCCTCCTGCAGCAGGTAAACACAGCAGTGTGTCATTAATACTCTGTGGAGCTACAGCACGTGGCACGTGGACATACTGGATCCAAATGTAGTACTATCCCCAGATATACAGTAAATAACTGGAAAAGAAAAACGTTTTTGGCTCTTCAAGAAAACTTTGGTTAGAGTCAGTTTGTAAAAGAGGAGGGTTTCACTTCCGGATTTTCCTGCAGGGAGGTGATGAGTGGTTCACTGACGTATCACTAAAATCTAATATATGACTTTCTGGTGTCAGCAAGTAGAAGAATTATACAAACCAAAGTTATATTGAAATATATCTAATAAAAAGCATTACAAATTTGAACTATTTCTGTGGCCATTTCTTTGAAGAAGAACTGATGTATACATTCAAGCCTCTTTACAGGGCTTCAGAAACTCTGCTACTTACATGAACATATCTCTTGAGGGAGTCTGAGGTAATATTGGATGGTAATCTGGGGCTGTGCTGTTACTAAGAAGAGGTTCACTCTCTCTTTCTCTCTCTTTTTTTTAAAACTCAAGCCTACTTTAGTCTCTATAAGCTCACCTCAAGCTCCAACTGAACAATCAGTCCTGATGCATTGATTTTAATCATTTTTGTGGAGTGGAGTTGGTTTTTCTTTGTGGTGTAATTAAATGGATGTGTTTACCTCTATGTGCCATAAACACAATGTGTCTTTTTGTACAGTTCCCTCCATGTAGCGCCCCTTTTTGCATAATAATAAGGCGTAATAATAATAATACATGCGACTCGTGTACAGCTCCTGTAACTGACCTGATATGTAGATCTTGCCATTGTGCACCGCTCCTGCATGGGCAGCCAGAGGCTGTGGCAGAGACGACACGTAGTTCCACTCATTTGTCTCCAGGTTGTAGGATTCCACGCTGGAGAGGTAGCCCGCCTCGTTCCTGCCACCAATCACGTACAGGTGCTTATCCAGGCGACAGGCAAAGAAGCTGGCTCTCCTGAGGAGGACGCATTAACCAGACAACATCATTAAACCTATGATGAGAATCACTACTGTTGTTTTTTAGTTTTTTCCAGCTTCTGTCTAAGGTGCAAATCATTCTTAAAAAAACAAAAAAAACATCATAAGACGAGAGATAAGTTAAGCATGTACAAGCTTCTAGGCTGTGAGCATCTGTTTTCATGCCTGTGTAATGGGCTTGCTTACTTCTGCATGATGTAATACCTTGTAAAAGGATTTTGAACCAAAAAAAAACAGCACATACGTCTGTTTACAGCCCAATGAGCATTACTTTATTCTTCTGTTGGCTGGTTTTGTACACCTAGGTAAGAGTAGTAGCATTTTTTTTTAATCTTATGTGGATGTTTATATTTTTAGGTTTTCTAAACACCATTTCCCAAGAGAACTACACATCTGCTATCACAGCTGAACAGAAGACTTGTGAAGTTGTTGGATCTCACAAATTACAACTAGAATCCAAGTAGCATCTTCATGAATGCCAAAACTTGTGAACTTCACTAAGGTCATAAAGGTTTCCGTTTCTTATTAGGTGATGCAATGAGTGGTGAGATTCTGAGAAATATACAAAACACGGTAATGAGAGATGGATGAGAGAAAATGGGTTACTGAAGCTGAGTAAACAGAAGCTAGTACTGATGTCAACATTTCTGAGGACAAAAAAAGGCTTACCTCTCCTGCATTGGAGGCAACTGTATCCAACTGTTGAATCTGGGATCGTAGCGGCTGACAAAATTAGTGCTGTGCTTTCCTGCAAAACAGAACAGTAGAATACAAATAACTTAGCTCAAAATAAAGCTTCTTTTTGTACAGTTTAGACATGCTAATGTAATGATCAGTTCTTATTGGCCACATCTTTTCTAATGTTGTTTGTTGTGTACCAATAAAATTCACAAATGCAACTCTCCCCAGTCTTCATTAATCACCGCCCACACGTGATGATTTGCCTTTTTGCTGCTGTTTGAGCTAACAAGAGCTGACTGAAGTCATGTTTTCTAAGCACAGAGAGATCACCTCTTGGTAATGTTGTATTCAAAAGACTGCAAATCATCTCTCATGATGTGTATTTGTAGTAAGCTGATTCCTACTCTCAAAACTGAATAAACAACTAATTTCACTAAGTGCAGTGTACATCTGCCTGGCTGTTGTATTACTGTGATAGCTGGTGAAAGAACAAAAAGGCAGAGTAAGAATCTTTGATCATTTACAGTCTTTGTTTCTTACTATGGCACTGTGTTGCCACCTTTTTGCAAAAAGCCCTCTTAACACTTCTACATTGCAAATATTTCATCATAAACAACAGTAATTTTTCTGTGCCAATTATTGACAAGTGTTGATTGGAGTGTTGTTTGTCCACTCAGAGCTGATCTGGCTGCAGGATGAGTGTTTCAAACCATCTGAAAGTGTTACATTAACTTGATGGGCTTGAACTTACATAAACTCCAGTTTAAGTGAACATGAAAAATTTGCTGCGTGAAATCAGTGGAAAGCAGCGACTGTACCATTGGGGTTCCACTGGTCCTCTCCGCCTAGCAGCAGCAGGAAGTTCTCCACCTCCACCACGCAGTGATGTGCGCTGTTGTAAGGCATTACTAGGTGACAGACAAAAAGTCAAAAAGTCAGTTTTAAAAACATGTGGAGAGAAATTTGTATATAAACAGTACCCTGTGAGTGTGCCCTGGCTGTTATAGGTGTACTGTGCTGGTGGTTTCAAAAATCCACTGTGGTTAGCAATTACTTTGTATCATTAAATATGAGAATTAAAAACAGGCCAATACTTTTCTGTTCAGGACACATTGCAGTCTAGAAAGCACTACCATAAGTCTCACATTTAATAAAACTGTCAGGTCATTTAAAATAAGAACCATGTAACAGTAAAAGTTATGCCATTGAACCACGAACAAAAAAGCCACTCTTTGTAGCATCTGGATAACTTTTTAACCTCTTTTGTCTCAAAATCATATAGAAAATAGATTGACGTGCAACTTTTGTTTTTTAATCAGAATCAACACAGCCATCAATTGACTGGCGACCTGTTCAAGCTGTACACCGCTTCTTGAACAGGAACAGCTGGGATAGGCTCCAGCCCAAACACAACCCTCAATTTGATCAACACATCTGGTGTAACTCTGTTTGCGCTCTTATACTCAAAGGGGGAAAGTAAATGGCATCTACACTCTCCTTAAATAAATTCAATTAATTCTTAAATGTTTCCACCACACCCACAGGTCAAGCCTTACTACCAATTACTGTCCGAGACACTGACCAAAGAGGTTTATTGAACATCTAAGAAGTATTATATTAACTTTTGAATAGGAAATAATGAAAGTGCTAAATGTTCTGTAATTTGACAGGAGTGGTCAGAGTAAATTTCACACAGACTGTTTGTTCTTTGTTTGGAGCAAGATACAAAAAACACAAACAGAAGTTTAAAAAAAAGTCTGGATGGAGAGCTGGTGAGCAAAGAAAGTTGCACTGGATTACTTTCTATAAACTTGCGATTACAGACAGACTAATATATGATTTTACGATTGATACCAATACTGATATTTAGTGATTTTAAAAATCCAATATACTGATATATTGACCGGCATTTTTTTTCAGACATATGAAACCTAAACAGATTTCCCTAACATATTTTTTAGTGTGGGTCTTTATTTACTCTATCATGCTTTGCCCAGCTGTCTTCAGATCAGCTAGTTGTTGTGTTTCTCACTTTCCAAACAGGTGTTGCCCACAGGATGTTTCTCCCTTCTCTTCTTTACCTTTTTCTATAATTTCCATTTATTGGCCATTATAAATGCAACTATTAGGAGAACTGCCAATAGTTAATACTGGTGGATAATACTGACCTGCTCATAAATCAGTCAGGCTTCAGTTGCAGTATAATGCACCGGTTGTGACGGAGAATGTGCTCTTGCTATTTTCTCTTCACATGAGGCAAAATGTTAAATTATATCATAAAACTCATATATATATATATAAATAATCGGAGGTTTTTCTGCTCTTTTTGTTTTGTATTCTCTGGACCATCCAGTCACAGGAATGTGACTTCAGCTATTTCGAATAACGATGCCATAAAAACCTCCAGCACTTTAAAGGACAGGAAAAAAAGTATTTAGTGGTAGTAAACTGAATATCATTGGTTTGGAAATGTGATGGACATTTTTTAACATTCTGTAGATAAAATAATTATTTAGTTGATTGAGAAAGTAATTGACAGATTGCTTAATAATCAGATAATTATTACTTGTAACCTTGCATTTATTTAACTGGATAGGTCACCAATTTCTATTTTGGGAATTCGACTCTTAGAAACTAGCTTAGCAACACTGTCCAATAAGTAAAATGTTGGGTGGATGATACCCCTTGTCGTGTGTTAGCGCAGTATAGCATAAACATCCCAGAGCTGAAGCAGGACCCCTCATGGAGGATTTTCTTTTGTGTATGTTTTCGTGCTCCCTTTCTCTCCTTCATCTTCTTTTGCTAAAGTGACCCCATTGAGATGTAGAGAAATGGTCTTAGGTGACAGTCATAATGAACATGATCATGTTCACTCAATAAATCTCAGGCCCGGTGCTTTTTGAGCACAAATCAGTGAAATGTTAAAGCCCACCTGTCTGTCTCCATCAGTCATTTCCACTGTCACCTCCCCACCGTCTGATGGATCACAGTTGCTGCAAAATTAGACAGCCTTGAATCTCATTTCTTTCCAATTGGCCTCTCTCTGCAATCTCACTCTAGCTGGCTGACATGTGCCGGTCCTCTATGGGAGGGAAGTCTCAGATAGGAACTAATACTACATACACTAAACACAGCTTTATCTCAAACGAGGGGATTAGGTTGCCTGCCTCCAGTGCACCTCAAAGACGAGTGCCATACGACTGCCAAATTCCCTTACATGCTATTTACATTATCATTCAGTCAGCAGTATATAGGACATGGATGGGCGGCTTTTTATTTGATGTCTAGTGACTTGTACTCATACTAAAAATCATCTCGTACCCATGTGAGAAGAAGATTATTGCTTTACAATATGTCACAGACCACAGTATCTAGAGTACTGCGGTGGGTTTTGGGACATTTGGGATATACTGTAGGTGAACGGTGAGATAATTACAGTAGCAGGGTATAATAACTGGAATTACTATGCTAATCTTGTGCACTGAAAAATAAATGCATTAATTATTTTTCCTTCTAAAGTATTTATACCTGAGAAAGTGAATCCGATTAACCTATTTGTGCCCTTTTAACCCAAATTGTCCACTAACCCAAGAGTGTGAAAAGCCATAGGAGGGCAGGATGAGCACGTCCTCTATGAGATGGACGCCATCACTCCGGTCTACAGTGAGCTCTAGGGCTCACTAGAGGGAGTCAGAAACCTCTGCATAGAGGCACAGTCAGGGTCGGTTGAATGACTCCACAGCTAATGCACCACTGCTGCTCCATCTCTGATGTGCCTTTAACACCGCTACAATTGCATCCCACTGAGCTGAATTCCTTTGTTCTAGGCCATGCTGCATGGACACCATACATGCAGCATGGAGATCCAGATTTTAATATTAGGTTGGTTTAAAGAAGAAGAAAAGAACAACCTAGCATTGTGGCTGAATCTGTGCCTGCCTTTGTCTTGCATTGGTCCACGCTGCTGTGGGTACACTAGATGGCAAACTTTACACTGGAATCACCGAGCAGTGTGTACATCAGATACACTGAAAGAGATCAGATTCTTCCCAAATTGTGTTGATGAATGTCTTAATCAAAGGCTGTCCCTCTCAGGTTTCGGCTCATTGAAAAGTTATGATTGAATGTTAATAATCTTCTATTCCACATCCATTGTGAGGAGGCTACATCAGGTGGTCACTGATGTGTTAAGGGGATGATTTTGCAGTTTTGTCCTTCCACTTGGCCACGGACCATTTGAGTGTTAACTTTTTTAGTTCTGAGTGATGGAAATCCCTATTGACCTTTTGCCTGGTGCAGTTTGTACCAGTGAGTGAGAGTTTAATGACAAAAACAACAACAACAACAACAACAACAACAACATAAACAGCGAGCTTCAGGCTGTTGTGTATGCAAGGCTCCTTCAGTTTAAAAAAAAAAAAAAAAAAAAAAAAAGCTCTAATAGGTTTGGACAAACATGAGCTAAAACATCACACTGCTGCCAGGAAATGTTATGATTTGAGCAGAGGAAGAAACCATGTCGGAGACTGCTGGTGATTTTAAGACCCGACAGCAAAAGCATAAAACCAGATTTATTCAAATTTGAATCATAAAGGGAGAACATAAACTGCACAGGGCCGAGCTGACAGAAAGCAGACCTATAGCTAATATATATGAATGGATAGGTGATCCTGAGATATGACTGCAACCAAAACACAGGACAAAAACTCAATATGTCCAGCAATGATGGGGCAAAGGAGAAACGCGGTCTCTCATTAGCTCTTTTTTTGACCTTTGCAATATGGCAACAATATAGTAGTGAGCCTTAAAAAGGTCAGGGAAGACAGAGAGAGAGAGAGAGAAGAGCATAGTGCACTCTACAGCGGAGAGTGCAGCAGGGATGTGTTTGAAATCTCACAAAGGTTTTCTAGGAAATTATCACAATTTGCCTTCATTATAATATTAAAAAATAAGATAAAATGAGATAAAATCAATTTTTGCTTTTGTTTCCATTGTTGTCCCTGTTACCTAAGAATGGTTGACATCAACATTTAAGCTGCAGTGTTCCACTAACCCCTCTGTGCTATTTATTCACCTTAAGTAAACCCAATATCAACAGCGACACCAGGTCAACAGGCTAAACTGCCACGTCGTGTATTACCATGTGTGGGTTAATTCAGTGTTATGAGTTGATCAATATGAACGAGTAATCACGCTGCATTTAAAAGTAATTGGGAAAAGATGTCACTCCTTAACGTTCTGTCTCAGCCACAATAGATCATTAGATTCAAGTAAATCTCATCGTGCATCCTGCCAGCACATATCAGCAAAAAAACAAGGGAAAGCATGCATGACGCTCCACAGTGCTGTGAAGTCACGCTCTGATTAAAAACTTATATTAAAAGTGATAGTGACACATTATTACCTGAAGGATTTAGGGAACTCTTGTCCCTCATTTTTGGTGAAAATTAACCAGTGTTAAAGTCATCCAAAGGAACAACTATTTCTCATCATAAAAGCCAGTAACACGGGATGCCTCAGGTAATAAATAAATAAATAAATGTAAAAAAATATATAAATTTTTTTAAATCGCAGCCTTTCTACTCACTTGTGAGGATCTTCCATGTCTTTTTCTCATCGTCATAGTACTGGACCAAATTACTGGGGAGACGATCAGGTCCAGGAGGCAAACCACCCACCAGTAACAGCATCCTCTTATTGGAACGGATTCTGCAATGTCAAAAGTGTGGGTGTGCGGACAAGTGTTCAATAACATGCAATAAAAGACATATTAAGGCCTGGAATAAAACATGCAAACACAAAAACACAAGCACAGCTTCAACCTTTAATTCCTTGATTTACTACGACGATATTAACAGAGCTTCCCTGGAGTATTTTTATTTTTCACTTTGCTGATGCTGATTGTATGAATGAATTAATCTGTGAATAAAATAAAGAATAAATGCACAGCTAGATGAATAACTGCTTCTTATCCAAGTACTTCTACTAAACTCAAGATTGCTAATCAGGAAATATGCGACCACATTTATTGTGATTAATAAAAATTGCTCAATCGTTTTGATGTGTTATTGGATCGTTATTGCACTCTAAAGATATCTTTTCAATTAGCTGTGAAGCGAGGACAGTCCTGTAGGGTGCCATGCTGGAGGCTAAAAGCACAATTGAGAACATAAACCTGCCTATACAATGTCTCCATTTCATTGGCTACAGTGATTCATGTGACATGCCTTAGCCAATTGTTGGAAATTTCCTGCTGTTTGTATATGATATATAACCTCAAAGCCGTGCACTTTACTGCACATCAATGACCATTATCTGGCTCCTAATGGATTTCAACACAAATCTACCAATTTATCACAATATGCACTAAAACATTAAGAGTAGCTGGCCTTTAGATTCAGACACATTCACCTTTTTCCCTTTTCCATATTTTACTTTTTTATGCTTGGGTAAGTCACCGTCGCCTCGGTGTATTCTCCCTCATGCTGGCCCAATCGGAAGTGTTTTAGGGTTATTCATATGCAAATGAGCCCCTGGACATAGATAATGGTGATTAATTGAGGGGAGAGAAACAGTGGCATGTGAAACTAATTATGAGGATTCCTGAATCTTTGCTCGTTTAGGTCCATATGTGGGATCAGATATATTATTGGGATAATGTACAAGTAGGTACTTGTAGAATGGTTTTATGTCCTGATTATTTCAGTAATTTCCAAATGTTTTCATAAAGTTTAGATTCTCTTGTGTCACAATTTTTTTTAGTTGTTTTTCCCCAAGGCTCACAACTGTAGTGATAAAAAAACAACAACAACAACAACAACAACAACTGAATATTGATACTATCGATTAAAAAAAAAAAAAAGTCTCAGCTGTCTGACTGTGATCAGTTGTCACCATAAGAGACAATAGCCATGTACTAACCAGCCCTAAAAGTGCAGATCAGGACAAACATGTAAGCCATGTTTTTGTGTGAGTGAGACACGTGCATGCAACACGAATGTAAGCAGCATTGTCCAATTCATGAAAAGGAATTCTAAACATCAAATCAAATTTAAAAAAAACAAAACATTTTGAATGTATTATATTTGTCTTCATTTTAATATCAGTAACAGGGCATCTCTGTACTTGGATCATAAGCATCTTGCAATTACCATTTAATTCTGGTCACAATTCAATTACAGCATTTCAAATTGTATTCAAGAGAGTTGCTACAAATCAAATGCATAACCTTTATCTAGATTGTAGCAATCTTGTCTACACTGATTAGAGAGTAATTGCACAGATGTGTGAGGAAATAAAGACATGTTTTCTTTTGTAAAACAGGAGGGAACATTGTAATGATGGATACAGTGGAGCACAGAGTGCATCACGACCTCTGGCAGCAGGTATTATGTTACAGGAGCACCAAAATCCTCATGAACTAGTCCTGAAATGCCACACTGCCTACATGGTCTACACCGACCACCTACATGCTCTACATTAAACAGGCGGTGGGATCAATACATGAGCAAGTGCATAATGCTTGTGTCTGTAATTTGTTCAAATTTAACAAGTGGGAGGCATTTAATTACCCACTGCCCAGTCTCAAACAGCTCTGTGGTGTGATTGTGTGAATTTATGTCTGAGTGTTTATCTGTCTCGTTCTCACCTGCTGGCCATGGTCTGCCTGCAGTGCTGCCTGAAGGGCATCAGGTGGTAGTTCATGGCATCCAGGAGTAGTTTCTGGCACACAGGGTCACTCCTCATGAAGTCAACAGACTGAACTCTCTCCACCAACTCTGGGGCAGGTATAAGGGCAAAGCGTAGCCTCTTCATAAGGTCCGGCGCATAGTGCATGCGAGTCTCCCGGTCATGCTCCAGCCAGAGGACTGACATCTGGAAGAGAGCCAGCTCTGACTCCACTGGGGGTGGCAGAGCATCTAGCATGGCACACATCTCCTCAAAGTTCAACAGCAGCACATCCTCCACCAGGTACTTGTTGGCCAGCTTCTTGGTCTCATCCAGTCCATGGAGTGCAGCAATCTTGCAGATCTGCTTGTAGTTCTGCACAGAGATCTGGTCATTAAGGAACTGCACACTAAGCTTGGTAATCTGGGGGATATTGAGGATCTTGCTGACTGACAGCACCTCTTCCACTGTGTCCAGGGAAAGAGTAACATTGGCAGTATACAGGTACTCCAGCACTAATCGTAGTCCAATGGAGGAGCAGCCCTGGAGCACTAGGTTATTTATGGGCCTGGTGCTGGTGGTCACCAGCTTGTCATCAGGAGAGGATGAAGGGGTCCCACTGCTGCCCTGGTCCCCTTTGCTTCCTTCATTGTTGATTACATTATGGGAGGAAAAGAGGGATCTGAAATACTGGGAGCAAGATGCCAACACAGCTTTGTGGCAGTGGAACTGCTGTCCCTGGGCTGTCAGAGTCACATCACAGAAAAGCTGCTTTCGCCACAAGAGATTGAGCCCATGCAGCAGGGTGTCACTGTGTGTTGGGTCAAAGGTGGATGTTCTATCACCCGATCTGGACATGACTTCCTGAATGTGAACGCCACCTAGGCAACAAATAAACCATGCAAGCCATTTACCTCAGGTCATTTATTTCCACAACACACGTTGCCTATACATCGCTATCAGTCAACTATTACAGCAGAAAACGATTTCTCGAATAAGTTATTGAACAGATCGCCCGTCCATCCAGCGGGGAAGAGCCGTCATGCCACGCCAGCCGGCGACAATCTACATCCAGCACGGCTTCATTCGCCTTCAACTTTGAGCTCTGGTCGTAAAGCAACAAACAAAAACGTAGTAGTTCCCATAGCGTGCCACTCTTATTCATTCTTAACTCAAGAAGCGGATGGTTTTAAATGGAGGCTGATGTTTGAAGGGCGCTGTCAAAAAAAAAAAAAAAAAAGAAAAGAAAAAAAATCGGAGGATACGGAGATGCTGCGGCGCTTTCCCCCCTCGGTAACGCGGCTGAAGTTGTCGGATAAGGAAAAAAGAGGCAGCCGCTACGGTGGACGGATAACATGCAGCATTCAGCCAACACTTATCCCTTCTCCTGCCTTGCTGCACACCCCCACAATGAGGACATTACACATCGCACAGATTTACGGAGTCATACAAAAGCAATTAGTTTGTCTCCGAGCCGTCAGCAGCGGTACGGGTGCGTTTTGCTTTTTTAGCCTACCTGAGTTAAGCGGACGTGAGTATCGACAAAATATTCACTGAAATGCAGCTTTCGCTAAAGTTAAATGGGATGTGCATATCTTTTTCATACTTAGACTGTTACAAAAGCTATTTCCATGTGCGTAATGTGTGTAAACTTGACACAAGCGTGCCGTAACCGTTGTCGCCAGATTCTCTAAAAGCGCCTGTCACAACTAAATGATGTGAGCAGCTTGCCTGAGAAGGAGCCAAACTTACCTGACTTCAGCTCTTGACCAAAAAAAAGGAAAGTAAGCTTCGGGTTCCCAATAATCTCACTTGAATTTTCCTTTGTTCTCCTTTTAAGAAATGTCCTTTTTCCTTTAAAGTCTATGGCGTCTCAAAATAACCATTGATTCCAACTCATAAAGTCACTATTTCGGGTTATTTGTTGACGTTGATCATTTGTTCTTCTGAATTAACAAGAAGTGTGTGAGTGTGTGAGAGGGAGCTGTGCTTTCTGCAAGAGAAGAAGAAGAAGAAATATACGTGTGACAAATTATGCTACCAAGAAACAACACATCATTATCCTTGGGCCTGGGGCTCAGTGAGTCGTAACGAGAGTAATAGGAAATCCACGGTTGGGGAGAGAAACGGTCGTGCATGGCCGGTGGAGAGAGACCATGCAGGGGTATGGATGCTGGAGAGACTCGCAAAATTATGGCTCAAGGCTATTGTAAAAACTGTCGAGCGTAAATGACTGCGATTTCAAACATCTATGGAAGAAAGAAAAGAGAAAGGGGGAGAAAAACCGAGTCTTTCCCTCGCTGTTATAGAGAGAACCGTCAAGTTTTAGTGCGCATTGCTAATTAGTCAATTTCTCTCTGCCTTCACAGCCCGACGACTTTGCTGCTGAGCTGAAACTGCTAATTTCTGGGACCAGCCTTTTTTTGGCTGTGAACTGGATGGATGAATGGCTTGTCTCGCACAAATGACAAAAAGCCCCTGCCTTAATCTCCATCGCCAAAATAACCCCTCATCTCATTCTGCTCCTACTAGTCCTTCAAAAGAAGGTGCTCTACACAAACTGAAGTTATACATCTGTATAATAAACAGCACCCACCTCAATGTACAGACAACTGTGCAGACTTTTATCATGTTTAATTAAAAGCAGATAATACCCTCCTTTTTTCTACATTTTAGTGTGACACTGAAGCAGCATTATGAAATGCCACACATGTACAGAAGGGACATAAAGTTAAAAAAAAAAACAACAAGCACAAATAAAGAACATATATATTGTTTTCATTCATTATTACCATGTCTGATCAGTTCATTGTTAAAAACATAAGGCTTGAAAACACAAAGGGCTGTAACCTAATACAGTGTCCATTAGTGCACAGTAGTTCTGCTGGAGTATTTATATCCATACACCTGCATTTTTGCCCCCAGAGATCCTCCAAGAGTATAAGATCAAAGTGAATCCACTAAAGGAAGTGGCTTGATGAATCACATAGTAAAACTCCTGGTTGGGAATGCTCATATGAACTTATGGATTGCACCAAACACTCTGTCACCACCACAACAAACTAACAGCTGTGAGGCACTAAGTAGTTCCATTGCTAAATTATTAATCTGTCAAATCACTTTGGTATAGCTGCATACAGTTCAATAACAACGAGAGCTTTCAAAAACTCAGAAACATCTCATCTCAAAATTAGGATTCCTTCATTTACCCCCATCACATGAATATAAGGTGATATAATCACCTCAAAAAGCAAACAAAATGCTCACACAGCTAATCAGAAACCGTTAGAAAGGATTTATTAGGCCAGAATAAACTGTCAATTACATAAAGAGCTCAATTAGAGTAAATACACTTACATGTAGGACTCCCATGGGACCAGAAGTGACAGGTACTTCACAACTTAAGAAATGACAGATAGGGATAAATGGCTTTGTTCATATACTATGAAAGAGAGCACCGCCATGCTACCGTCAAGCAATAGCGGACCATACATTGGTAGCATTTATAATAAGAAGGCACCACAATGCTGTTTTGATGTTCAAGTGTTTGACAAGCACACAGCCTGCTAATCCCCAACTTGTAGTTATGCCGAGGAAATTCATTCTACATGAACTCTGCGGTGATGACTGATTAGATTGTGCGCTGCATCTCAAATAATCATCGTCACCGAAGGAAAACTATACTACTCTAATATTAATTAGCGGTTTGAAACCACTATGAAAGCACTTTGTTTTACTGTTTACCACGATTATTTCGTTACCTCATTTCCAGAGGTCTTGACACTGCACAGCACTACAGTAATTCACTGTATTTCACTTTGGAGTCACATATTGTTATCTTTACCAGCACACAGTTAGCACTACATTACCCAAGTCTCGAGCGAGCTATTCTAACGCAATAAAATGACCATTTCCAACTCTTTCAGCTCTTTGTAGCAACTCAGTCTCCTGAGGCCACTGGTCTTCAGATTGCAGGGCGTTTATGGTTGTAAGTTGTTGCAGTGTGCAGAAGGAGGGGGGGGTCATCAGATAAGAGAAGAATTTCTAGACTAATTAAACCCTTTGAGACAAAGAATCACACTACAGTGATTTACAACTCTCTGTACCAGTTAACCCGACTCATTTCTTTCTGTCATATTACTCAGATAGCATATCTACCTCTATGGGTAAAAAGTCTTTTTTTTTTTTTGTCTTCAATGTTATGAAAAAAGGAGGGGTGTTAGTGTAAATAACCGCAGTTAGATCAGATTTAAATACTGCAGTATACTCATAATATAAGCTTTTAAGAGCAGACAAAGCTCCCAGCCACTGACCATCTACTCTGTTCAGTGAATAAGCCCCTGATTTTACCCCCAGATACTACGCATCTTCATATGTAATGCTTGCATTATATCATGCTTCCTTATTGTTTTCTTCAGCATAATTTTGTGCCCATTACAACACATAAAAATGAAGCAAAACACAAACTGTCAGCATTATCGTGGCCTTGGGTAACTGATTAAAGAGCGAACATTTAATCTAATCAGTGCAATGAAACAAAACAACAGGAGAAGCTCCAAAGTTGTGAATAGCAAAGTCTACCAGGCATAATTCCTTTTGCTGGCTGTTGCAGAGGGGTATGCTAAGATAGAAAGTATTATTTTCCTAAATGGAAGGTGTCAGATGGTCACGGAAATGTGATCGGCTGTTCAAGATCACTGCTTCCCATCTGCAATTTGTGACGTGTGAAAGATTCAGCCCAAATGTGCTCACCAAGCGTAAATCCTCAGCACTTTCTCTTATCGTGGAAAAGCAAGATAACCAGCTGTTTACAGATCAGAGAACATATCATATTAATATCATGGAGAGGGTGATATCATCTTGTTTGTAAAATATTTTGTTAACTAAGTGTGGTGTGGTATGGCAACCTATAAAGTGAAAGTTGTAATTTGTGTTTTAGCAAAAGTGCTGCAGTTTAAAGCCCCTTTTTAATGATAAAAAATATATTAAAAGGAGGAAAGCTGAAAATGCTGCGGGGAGCCTCTTCAGAAACACTTTGGTGAGACAAAATTAATGCAAACTGCATGTTACAGTAAATACTCATTACAAGGCTCTTAGAAGTTACATTTAAAGATCCCCCCTTAGTTCCAGTTAACTGTATGTATGAACACAAGCAGGGCTCTCTTTATGCCTCCCTCTCCAATCTTGGAAGAGTTTACAGTTGTGTGGAATTATTTTGCACCATTTTTGGATTTGGAAACCAAACCGTATACTATACTATAGAGAGATTAGTTCTAAAAAAAAATGTAGCATTGGCATTAAAGGAACAGGCTGCTTAATCAGAGGTAGTTGTTATAATTGTACAAATTGAAGAAAGGGTCATCAAAAGTGCAATATTTGTACTAGCAGGTTCAGTTTATTTCGATTAATTGTAAAATCTCAACCCATCCCGTTTTCTGTTTCCTGTTTTTTTTAGCACTTTTTTTGGATATCAGGACTGATTAGCACATGCTTGTCATTTCAGATCAAAGTTAGTCAGAGATGATTCATAAAACGTCCACTGTGTAATAAATTGGAAGCACTTATATTTGCCATTCAGGGAGTATTGGGAGGCCTGCTGTTTTAAACCCCTAGATCCCCACACATGGCGTAGCCACCACAGACACGGCTCAGAGAGTCAGTCGGCAGCCGGGAGGTGAGCAGAAAGGAACAGGCGGTGTCCCCTCCAGAGTGAGCACAGGAGAGAGAGTGTGTGTGTGTGTGTGTGTGTGTGTGTGTGTGTGTGTGTGTGTGTGTGTGTGTGCACAATATGTGTGTGTGTTGTGGCATTCTCAAATGACAAAAGGATACCAGTTGTGCAGTTCAGGTGGGACGACACACGGAGGTGGTATGGAGACTCACCTGAGGGAGAGTCTGGGCTGCTGGGACCGGGGCTGTAATGGAGACCCAAAGTTGTGTATAGGGGCCGCAGGAGGCCACTGTGCCGTGGAGAAGGTTTGGGGGCTGGAGGAGAGGGGGCTGCTGTTGTGCAGTCTCCCCAGCGTGATGCATCTACCTTCAGGGTGGCAGCAGGCGTGGAGTGGGGTGCGATGGAGCGAACACGGGCTCAGTGGCGCGGTCACCTAGGGACGCTGAAGCTGCTGTAGCAGGACTGATAGTTATTCCTTGGGAGAATTGCAAGATGAGCCCCATTGTATTAGCAACCCCTCTTCTACTAGAATTGTATCAATGTTCTCAAACCTTTGAAGAATGAAGTCAGGGTGCAAAATATCTGACACTTAACGTTTTTTGCCGTTCACCAAAAGAAACTTAATTCTTGGACAAACAAAACAAAAAAAAAAGTAGGACGGAGTAAACGGTTTCTCTCACAATCGGAG